GAAGAGTGGGGGACCCCCCCGTCCGCCGGCCCGGGGGGGGGACCGGGGTGGGGGGGAGCAGGCAGGGCAGCGGAAGTTTCCCTCCATCCCTCTTTACAATGCACTAGGGAAACCATCACAAATCTCGTTTAGCAAAATAATGCATTATTACCAAACACTTTGATTATTACTTAAATTGTCAAGCTGTGCTGTCAAATGTATACAATACAGCGTTAAAGGAGAACAAGACTGGTACCCGCAAGGAAACTGGCCGCACGTCCCCCCTCCCACCCCACCCCATGTGTCCTCCCATGTGCTCCCAGGCCACGGATGCGCTGCTGAAACCTCGTTTCCCTCCATCATTATTATTTATTATTATTATTATTATTATTTCTCATAAGACACAAGGGGAGGGGAGAAAAAGATCCTCGCTAAGAGCAAAGAACGCGTCTATCTATAAAGCACGGTGCTGCAGAGAAGAAATGGAGAAGCCCTTACAGAGATCACATTGATTGTCTCGTCGTAGTTTTAGTCGTCGCGTTGAGCAAAGGTAACACGTCGTAGCACAGAAACAAGGCCAAAAGAGAGATCAGTTTTCTTCTCTAAACAAAGAAACTGAAAACCACACAATAATACTCAAAAAAATACGGGGGGGGATGAAGGAAAAGCAGCATTGGCCGTGTGCTCTGAGGAACGCTCTCACCCTGGCTACAGGAAAAAGCCGTGTTCAAGTGAAACGGTGCTGGAGTCCCGTCCCCCGGCAGCGATGCTAAAGCCACACGGCACGGAGGAGCGGGGCACGAGGGGCACGGCCGCGTCCCTCCCAGGGTGGGCACGGGACAGCCCGGCTCTGCTGGTGCCTCCGAGCTTTCCCCCCACTGACGTGGGGAGAGCCGGAGCATCATCGCTCCGAGAGGACGGAGCCATCGCGGCCCAGGGTCTGCCCCGCTCCGAACCCCTCCGTGGCTCAGCCCCTCCGTGTGCCTGAAGAAGCACTTTAGCCCTTGAAGACGACGGCTCAGGACTTTGGACCCATCTTCCTGCCCCGCGGGGAGGGCGAGGGCCAGCAGTGAGAAGAAGAGATAAAGTGATGCCTAAATTCCTCCCAGAAAGGGACTGCAAGAGGCAAGTGCGGACTCGACAGCAATGTAAACAAGTCTCTTTTTCCAGTTCTCCTCTGTAGAATACTGAAAAGGATCTTCAAAAAGGATCTTTTTATTCAAGTTTCGTGAGTTTATTCTGGTTCCGAACTGAGGTATTCGGTGCAGAAAGGTTAACACTTTCTTTCAAGCTAGAGGGGTGGGGGGGGAGCGGGGAAGATGCGATCGGCCGGGGAGGGGGTCCTACGCCG